CCAACTTCCCCCCTTTTAAAAACAAAACAAAAAAACCAAAAAACCCCAAACCTGCTAGGGTTAACAGTGTGCTCAGGGCCAGGGAAGTTCCCTTTTAAAAACAAAACCAAAAAACCCCAAACCTGTTAGGGTTAACAGTGTGCTCAGGGCCAGGGAAGTTGAATTACTGGTACAAGCCAATCAAGACTATCCTATTCTAGTTTTTTTCAGAGTCACTTGCAGCTAGGGGTGGTCATATGATCCAGTTCTGACCAATGAGATATAGTTATTAATCTGCTGGGAGTTCCTGGGAAATTTTAGCTTCCCTTCTTGCCTTTGAATATGGATGTGATGGCTAGAGCTACATATTCCAACCTTAAAAGACCAAAAAAATCACACTAAGTCCAGCTACATTAGACCACAGTTGCTCAAGACTAAACTTTTATTATGCAATAAAAATAAACCCCATATTTATTTTAGCTACTGTTAAGCTGTTTCCTATAACCAAAGCATTCCCGAGACAAGTAAAGTGCTCAAGTTCCTTGGCTTTGTCTGGATTTTCTACTTGGAGCACACCTTAAAGGGGGGTACGGAGAATTCAAATGCAGCACAGGGGTAATGGAAATTTGTATCAGCCTCTGAAGTTCACGTAAAGTTTCTTCCTGTTTTACAGTCTGTTTCAAAATTGTCTAGAGATGTCACCATGAGCCCTGGTCAGTGTGCTCAGTGGTTAGAGTGCCTGAGCACCAAAGGGTGTATCTGGGGTTTGATTCCTGGTCAAGGGCAAGTACCTGATTTTGAGTTCGTTCCCCCACCCACCTCAGACAGGGCGGTGCAGGAGCCAACTAGTCGATGTGTCTCTCTCGCATTGATGCTTCTGTTTCTTTCTCTACCTCCCTCCCCCTGCCCATCCATTCCATTCTCTCTGAATAGCAATGGAGAAAAAACCCTCAGGTGAGAATTAACAAAAACAAAAAAGATGTTACTATGAAAAAGATACTTTTACGTTCCTAATAATACTTTCCACTTTATGTACACTATCAAAATAAAAAGCTTAGCCCTGGCCAGGTGGCTCCGTTAATTGGAGCATTGTCCCGCACACCAAAAGGTTTCACGTTTAATTCCCAGTCAGGGTGCATATGAGAGGCACCCGATCAATGTTTCTCTTTCTCCTTCAAGATGTTACTATGAAAAAGATACTTTTATGTTCCTAATAATACTTTCCACTTTATGTACACTATCAAAATAAAAAGCTTAGCCCTGGCCGGGTGGCTCCGTTAGTTGGAGCATTGTCCCGCACACCAAAAGGTTTCACGTTTAATTCCCAGTCAGGGTGCATATGAGAGGCACCCGATCAATGTTTCTCTTTCTCCTTCTCCCCCTTCCTTTTTTTTTTTATATCAGAGGAGAGGGAAAGACACATTAATGTAGAGAATCATTGATTGGCTGCCTCCTGCATGCGCCACACTGGGGATCAAGCCTGCAACCTGGGCATGTGCCCTGACAGGGAATCGAACCCTGACCTCCTGGTTCATAGGTCAACACTCAGCCACTGAGCCATGCCGGCCGGGCTTTCCCCCTTCCTTTTATTGTTCTCTTTTTCTTTGGTATTTTTTTATTTCCCCCCTTCCTTTTAAAGTCAATAAAACATATCCTCAGGTGAGGATTAAAAAAAGAAAGAAAACAAGCAAACATGTAGAAGATCCTGGGAGGGAATACTCCAAAATAACAGCTCTTTATTTTATTTCATTTATTTTTTTAGAGAGAAAGAAGGGAGGAGAAACACTGATGAGAGAGAACCATCCATTTGGCTGCCCACTATACAATCACTGGGGATTGAGCTGGAAACCCAGGTATGTGCCCCTGATGGGAATCGAACCTGTGACCTCTCAGAGCCACACCATCCAGGACAATAGCTGTATATATATTTTTTTTATTGATTTCAGAGAGGAAGGGAGAGGGAGAGATAGAAACATCAATGATACAAGAAACTTATTGATCAGCTGCCTCCTGCACGCCCCACACTGGGGATCAAGCCCACAACCTAGGCATGCGCCCTTGACTGGAACTGAACCAGGGACCCTTCAATTCATAGGCCAATGTTCTATCCACTGAGCCAAACCGGCTAGGGCAGCAGTTCTTAACCTGTGGGTCGCGACCCCTTTGGCGGTCGAACGACCCTTTCACAGGGGTCGCCTAAGACCATCCTGCATATCAGATATTGACATGACGAGTGATAACAGTAGCAACAGGACAGTTGTGAAGTAGCAACGAAAATAATTTTATGGTTGGGGTCACAGCATGAGGAACTGTATTTAAAGGGCCAGAAGGTTGAGAACCACTGGGTTAGAGCAATAATAGCTATATTTTAAGGGGCAGAAATTAGAATGAACTTTTAAAATTGCACTGCCCTCTAAACCAGTGGCTCTCAATACAAGCAATATCGCCCTTCCTCTCCCGAGGACAATTTGGAAATGTGTGGAGGCAGGCTTTAATTGTCACAGTAACTAGAAGGCCATACAGATATTTACTGGGCAGAGGGCAGTAATAAGTAGAATTGTTCTGTACGCCCCAGGATTATCCTGGACTAAATTTAAAAAACCCACCATACTAGTCTATAAACTCCATGAGGCCCAGGGTTGGACCTGTCTCAGTCACTGGGACACCCCTTACACACACATTCCATGTGCAGCCTGACTCCCCTGTAGCATCCATAGTCACTGCTGTCTTGGAACGAAGGTGTAAGCAGAATCTTATCCCTTAAAACAGTCTGGTCAATGAGGGTTTTGTTCCATTTAGGGAAGAAAGAGAGAAGTGGGAGCATTTTATTGCTTGATTAATTCCCAGAACGCACAGCTCCCTTTGAATTGCATGAGGTCAGAAAGACAAATGTGGTTGTTCGCTCACAAGGAACTTATTTAATAAGGAAAGTTTTAAACTCTGCTATCTCTAGTGACTAAAACTTCAGGATCAGATACCAGCTCATTAAAGCTCTTGGCTCCTTGATAACAGCAAAATAAAACAAACAAAAAAAGGCAACCCAGAGAGTCCATTTGGTCTCATTTCCTTTTAGCCGTGCCTAATTAATTAGAGAACAAGCTCATGCATACGGGACATCCTTAAGCTTCGACGTCTGAATTAGGTCAACTTCACTCAGTAACAGGAAAGAGGTCAGAGTAAAGGGAACTACATCAACTTTAAAGCATAAAGTTCAAGGGAGAAGAGATTTTGCTTTTGATATTTTCCCCCCACCCCCAGTGTTGAGGTTGGGGAGTATCCCAACAATACTACAGGCAAGGAAAAGAAGCTAAGATAAGGCTGCCTACAATAACAGGTTAGAGCCACCCGTCAGGTAACTTGGGGTGCAGCCATGTTCATCAGTCCAACAATGGCGACGAGGAAATAAAGAATACACATTATCAGCCTGTGGTTCTTTCTTAGAAATTAAGAGGAAAAGGTTAAGATGTCAAGCACTTTACTCAGATTACCAATGATGCCTGACCCCATTCCAATAGAAGATCCAGACTTAAGTATTATAGGATGGTTTCTGCAGGGATACATAGCATTAAATTAAAGAATGAATTTAACGTAACATTTCAAATTTTACTCAACTGCCATGGCTTGCTGGTCTCTATCCTTGATCACACCAGCCATGGACATGGAGAAAGACAGGAGCTACCAGGATAACACTTCACTTTTCTCATTCCCATTCTCTCCTTTCCTTTTTAAGAAGCCCCTCTGTACCAAAGTCAACTCCTTCTGCCCAAATACTAAAACATCTAGGATTATACTATCCAATGCAGTAGCTACTAGCCACATGTGACTGTAAAATTTAGATGAAAAGTAACAGAATTAGAAATTTAGTCCCTCAGTAATATTAGCCATATTTTGAGTGCTCAACAGCCATATGTAGCTACTGTCTATAATACTTTCCACCAATTCACTTTTTTTCTCTGTGAAATATGTCTCCTCTCCTTGCTCTTTTTTTAAAAAATATTTTATTGATTTTTTACAGAGAGGAAGGGAGAGGGATAGAGAGTTAGAAACATCGATGAGAGAGAAACATTGATCAGCTGCCTCCTGCACACCCCCTACTGGGGATGCGCCCGCAACCAAGGTACATGCCCTTGACCGGAATCTAACCTGGGACCCTTGAGTCCGCAGGCCGATGCTCTATCCACTGAGCCAAACCGGTCAGGGCTCCTCTCCTTGCTCTTAAGGCTAAAAATGTACCCTTCAAATACAGTATCAACGACATCGTCCCATCTTCAGTTAATTTCCTTCTTAACCTATCAAAGTTGAAAATCATTGGAATCATCAGCCCTGAACTTCATAACGTATCAAGGCTACTCATTCTCCTTTATCCCTCTAACCAATTCCATTTGGCTTCCTCGTCTATAGATTTTTCTCTTTGCTTAATTCTTCTTTTTACATTTACAATTGTCTAATTTACTTCCATGGCCTAAACTGCTTGTCACCCTTATGGGTTCCCAAATCAAGGCCCAGGATTGTTTCACCTGGATACTTGATAGTTTTTCAGACTTATAGTCTCTACCTTCCACATGTCCTCCCTACACTTATACCACCAGCATGTTCCCACGCTCAGAACCAGTCTTGACTTTTCCTCCTCACATTTAGTGGCGAGGCCCTTCAAAGTACCCATCTTCAAGCCATCTCTTCACCACCATTACTCTAGTCCAGATTATTACCCCTAGGAAAACTGCAATAAACTAACCCAGTGTTTCCCAAAGTATGGCACAGTCACTGCTAGTGGAGGTGAGATGTCAAGCAGTATGCATTCGTGAATTTAAAAAATGTTTATTATCTGTATTTCTTTAATGTGCATTAGGAAACACAGTAGCACACATCAAACCTTTGATTTCAAGTTAGAGAAGTGTGTAGAGCAGTGGTTCTCAACCTGTGGGTCGCGACCCCTTCACAGGGGTCGCCTAAGACCATCAGAAAACACATATATAATTACATATTGTTTTTGTGATTAATCACTATGCTTTAATTATGGTCAATTTGTTTTTTTTGTTTTTTTTTTTGAAATATATTTTATTGATTTATTACAGAGAGGAAGGGAGAGAGATAGAGAGTTAGAAACATCGATGAGAGAGAAACATCGATCAGCTGCCTCCTGCACATCTCCTACTGGGGATGTGCCCGCAACCCAGGTACATGCCCTTGACCGGAATCGAACCTGGGACCTTTCAGTCCGCAGGCCGACGCTCTATCCACTGAGCCAAACCGGTCTCGGCAATTATGGTCAATTTGTAACAATGAAATAGGGGGTCACCACAACATGAGGAACTGTATTAAAGGGTCACGGCATTAGGAAGGTTGGGAACCACTGGTGTAGAGTAAGAACAAAACAAAATTGAAACCAAGAGCAAATCTGAAGAAAACAATGTACGCAATAAGTGAATACGGCAAGTCCCCAAAGTGGTATGCAAATGGCTGAAATTTGGGAATCATTGTCTTCATGGATCACTTTGATAATCTGCTTCCCTTCAAATATATTCTCCCCACCCCACCCCCAAATATATTCTTAACTCAGCTGCCAAATTAACTCTTCTTATTCGAAATCTCCAGTGTCACCCCCATTACCTAGAAAATAAAATTAACCCCCCACCCAGCCTGGCTTCAATACATACCAGTCCCTACTGTCTAAATTGACCTTTATAGATATTGTGTCCTTCCCATCTCTATCTGCGCCTTTATTCTTTTTCTACTTTTTGACTGAAATGTTCAATGTCCACTATACCTCAACTAAAGTCTGCTTGTCAAAAATCCAATCTTTGGAACCTAATAAAAATGAAGAGTCGAGTTTCAACATGTTTATTAAGTACCTATTATATGCCTCCTTTCATCTTTCCTAAACATCCCCCTCAGGAAACATTACCTCCCCCTCTGAAGCCCCACAGCACTTTATTTGTGGCACTTATCACACATCATTTTTGACTATATATTATATATATATTCTCTTTCCGACTAGATTATCAGCAATCTGGGAGTAAGGATGGTGTCTCCATCTTTGATGATTTCTGTTCCCACCTTAATACACTGCACATAGAAAATACCAGTGTCAGCTGAATAAATGAATCTGTACCTCAATTTCAAGGGCTATGTGGCAGGAAGAAAATGAATGGTACAGACAGAAAAAAACCTGAACTCAAGTATTAGGTCAAGGAAAACCTCTCTACCTGCCTCTATCTGCTGAAAAGAAAAGCAGCCCTGGACAGTTTTGCTCAGGGTTAGGTCGTAGGCCTGCGCACCAAAGGGTCTTGGGTTCGATTCCCAGTCAAGGGCACATACCTGGGTTGCAGGTATGTGGCACCCGCGGGAGACAACCAATTGATGTGTCTCTCTCACATGTTTTTCTCTTTCTCTCTATCTCTCTCCTCCTCCCTCTTTTCTACTCTCTTTAAAAAAACAAAAGCAATAGAAAAAATATCCTCGGGTGAGGATTAATAAAAAAGAAAAGGCAAATTTTGCCCTGGCTGGCCTGGCTCAGTTGTTGGAGCGTCATCCCATACACCGAAAGGTGGTGGGTTTGATTCAGTCAGGGCACATACCCTGGTTTTGGGTTCAATTCCAGTAGGCACATGCAGGGGAGGCAACTAATTGGTTTCCCTCTCACATGATGTTTCCATCCTTCCTCCTCTATCTAAAATAAATTTTAAAAATTTTTTAAAAGAAAAATTAAAATATATACTTTGCTGGGAAACTAAAGTACTAAGTGAACAAAACCTAGGTGCTTAAATAAGTACAACCGAACACCACACCATCCAGATCGAATCACCTCTGGTGTGTAAATTGAAATTTCCAAAATACTGGCATTTAATTCCATAATGTAAACCAGGAACAACTTTACTAACAGAAATTTGTCCTATGAATGCACGTAAGAAATCGTTACCACGCTGTGCACATTATTTGAAATAGGCATGCTTGTGTTAGTTTTTCTGATAATCACTTGTCTCACAGTAGGAGGCAAATGGTAATAAGCCTCAAATATGCAAGAAAGGTTTCAGGAAGAAAACACGAAACTCTTGAAAATTCTATCCACCATGTATTTTTCTAGGACTTGGGATGACCAGTTTTAATGGTAACATATTTGGGTCCACCGAGTGTTTTGAGGATGCACCATTTGAATCACTGGTAAAAGGGTAGAAAATGTGTATTGGGAGGCACTTCAATGGACTCTCGACCTTAATCAAAGGAGGAGAACCTGAAGAGAGGATGGAACATTCCAGGCGGGATGACTTAAGAACTGGAAGTAAAGGACTTGGATGATCTCATTCAGCTTAAACAGTAAGACTAGGGCTCCACTACTAGACCACCATTCTGATAGACTCAGATCAGGAGAGTTTAAATGTCAAGAAAAAATAGACACACACAAAAGTGGCTTTGATTATAGAAGTCAGAGGAGGGAGAGCCTACGATAGCTGCTCCCCACACCACCCCCCCAAGGCTCTTTCTCAGGGACAGCAGCAGCTTTGTCAATGACACAAATGCAGGGTGGCATGAGGCTCCAGCAGCTGAACATTTTAATTTGGGGTGGGGGTGGAAGAGAATACATAAGTTGCTTTGTGGCCCCCCGCCCATCCTAATGCCTTGGGGACCAGCCAGGCTGACCCAAATGGAATCCAGAGTGAGAGTGGGGCGTTGGGTTCCCCGAGGAAAGGGGGCAGATCCAGAACAGAGCAGAACGGTGGCAATTTATCTGTATGAAAAAGTAAGGAGACGCTAGGTGAGAAGGACTAGCATCCATCTACACAACAACGTGGGAGACAGGAGGCAGAGAAAAAGGAACAGGTGGCAGTAGGAAGGATAAAAGAGAGCCAGACGCTATAGCCTGAGCCACTCGGCTTCTTCTCAGGGTTAGTGGGAAAGACACCAAGAGGCAGATTAGCATCAGGACCAGGGATCCACAGCAAACAGGTGAAGTCCCCAACAACTCTTTTTGGTGCTTTTTACTACCAGGCTTGCTCTGGGACTAAAATTTGGGAATCAAATTCAATTTGTAGGTAAAGTTGATTATTTCCAATTATGGGTGTTTCCCCAGAATTTTATCAGGGCCCAAACCAAATACACCCAGGAGGTCTGAGTTTTGTTATGTAGTATTAGAACCCCAGTCACTGGTTCTCTGGGCCCGATTTCCTTAGTCATATGATGACATGTTTCTACCTTCAGCAGTATCCCTGCTGAGAAAACTAAAATTGAGGAACAAATAGAAACATCATAGTGTTATAAAGAAGGGATTGTGAATAAAAATTACATGTAGATCAGGGTTCTACCACTGACCCAAGATTAAATGCCTCCCCAGCTTTTGCCAACAAGTAACCAGCACCAATGTTTTAGCGATAAGGGTGGAGATTCTAGTGTCCAGAGGATAAAGCCAAAGCATACTATGTAGTCTATAGCCCCGCTCACCCACAAGCCAAGGTCCCAGCCCCATCTGCTGTCAGATAGTTACATAGAGGTCATGTCATTGAGGGCGTGGTCCAGCTCCTCGCTAATGGCCTTGTACTTCAGTTTCTGGGCATAGAGCTCATCTGGACAGGCACAGGAACCACAGGGAGGGACGAGGGGGACAGAGTGAAAGGTATCAAAAGCAGATGAAGAGAAGGAATCATTAGAAATTAGGGAAAGTGTCACTGTGGGTCTAATACCACAGTTAAGAGCACCATGACTGGCCATTTTCAGATCCACTGTTGCCCAGGACAAAATGGACTTCTTGACACCTCTAACTGACTGCGGGGTAAGAAGGGGGGCACAGTCATGGCTAGAAATTCCTATTACCAAAGGCACTCAAGAGGTTTAACTGCCACCCAGTTAAACCAATTTCTAGCCATGATAGTGCTTAATTTAACAAAAATAAAAAATAGAGAAAGTACATTAATATCAGATACTTTTCTAGCTGCCAAGGATAACCAGTATTCTTGGCCCCTTTGCTCTACAGGTTGCCTGCTCAAACTCTTCAAAGAATACCCTGCTACCCAGAGTATACCAAAGGAGCATATTTCAGAGTTCTCAGAGTACATTTACCCTTGTTAGGGTGGACACGATGCCAAACTGTGGGGACAGAAGTATTCGAAAGCCCATGGTACTGGTCAGCTCTGAGACAGCTGCATCTCTTGCGAAGGTCCCCCACAACCTGAGTGGTGGACAGGATTGCCAGAAGGAGCCATGGAGTGACACATGTTCTCATTGCCTTCTCAAAGTATGGCTACCATTTTGATCCAGAAACTGGAACTAAAGATTTAAGACTACTAAATTGGTGATAAATGCAGCCATTAGCAGTCTCCAACGGAAGGATGTAAATTCCAGAATATTAGGTAAAGGCTTACTAAAGAAAAAGATTAAACGTAGACAGCCAATTCTATTCTAGGATTTGACCCACTTCAGCTAGTTGTGGCAGGGCACGGGATGCATCCCAAGTCACCACCAACTCCCTTTGGTCTCCAGGGAAAGGGGATAATGGTCAATGGGCAAAGTCTTCCTCTATATTCCAGTATTTTAATTCCTCTCCCAGGCTCCATACCTTCCAAATCATCAATTGTCTTTTCCAGCTTGGCTACCGATCTCTCAGCAAACTCAGCACGGGTCTCTGCCTAAGGGAAATACAAAACCGTTGGAATCAGATGAACAAGACAAGTAAGAGAAGAATCTAAATTATCTTCACCTTCTACTTCCAAACCTTTCAGAACCACAGCCAGCCAGTCTACATTATGCCTTATATACCCCTAAATGTTTGGGCCCTTCCCCTCAGCTCACCTCCTTGAGTTTATCAGTAAGAATCTTTATCTCTTCCTCATATTTGTCTTCTTTTTGAGAGTACTATAAGAGAAATAAAATAAAATTTTCAGAGTAGAAAATTATTCACACAGACAATACACCACCACCCCCCCAGCCCCACATTTACTCTTACATTGAATATCTTCTTGGATATACTGTGCTGAATGGTTGGTTTATAACAAAGAGCAAGGCCCATTTCTGGACAATAAGTCCTTAAAATCCACAAATCAATGTCCTAAGAGTCGTGATACCCTTATTTTTTAAAGGTACCTAACTTTTGATCTCAGTCAGATCAACCCAGGGGTTACTTTTCCTTCCTCCTCCTTATTGAGTCAGTCCAGTGCCACCCAAGGCCAGATGGCTAAAACAGCGCCACATGGTGACAAAGACAAGTCTTCTGTTTCGACTGCTTAGGAGGCCTCAATGTGATACCATCTGTCGCTCCATCTTTCTGCTAGAAAACCTGTTAGGGCCCATGATCGTTGTCATTCAGCACATCCCTATCAGCCTGAGAACATGACCCCAGGCACCCGGGACCATGAAGTTATTTTAACTAAAGCTGTCAAAGTGCACAAGAATTAGCATTAGACCTAGAGTCCAGACAGAGGGTGGGTAAGAGGAGGATACTTCTCACTGGATTATATAAGGAATGAGTTTCTCTAGTCTCTCATTAAGGGTAGGGCTGGGCCCAGGCCCCCAAAGCCTGTCACTTTCACAAACCAGCCCCTACCTTCTCCGCCTGAGCCTCAAGAGACTTGAGGTTGTTGGTGACATTCTTCAGCTCCTCCTCCAGCTCAGAACACTTACTGTGAATATGTTACATACCGCAGAAGAAAGGGGAAGGAAAGAATAAAAAAAAGGGAGAGAGACACACAGACATGAATTGAACCTATATGTAGAGATCTGGAAGGCATAACAGGGAAAAGAGAAGGTCCCAGGTAACGTGAGCAAGCAACAACCCTCCTCCCTCTACCAGAGACCATGTCAGGAGCTAGACTCCCATGGGCGAGGACTCAGAATGTTTAGATACCAATAAAGAAAACACTTGAGAGAATTCACTACTGGGAACCATTCTTAACTGCTACCTGGGGTGAGGTGGGAACAGATGTCCAACCCAATAGTCCCCCACATCACCCAAGGGAAGGAGACCCTGTGGAGGCAGTGAAGCAACTGGGAAAGAAAAGATGAAAGATGCCAAAGTGGAAAAGAATGGAGCATTCCATGAAGAGATGAGAAAGCACTCAACAAACCGACCAGTGGAGGGGAGGCAGCTGCAAAACAAAAACAAAACCACACCATACACAGAACCTCTCCGTAGGCTTAATGGTTAGTACCTTTTCCTCAGCAGCACTCAGACACTTCAGGTTCTGGTCCATCAGTCTGATCTGCTCATCCATCTCTCGGCAACGGCTGTTAGTGATAGTCACGGGGATCGCACAAGCCAGGTTGTGGGGAGGGAGAAAGGTCAAGAGGGAACACAGCAAGAAAACAAGCAGCAAAATGGGGGGGAAAAAAACTTTTCAAAAAATGGGAAGAAAACACCACCATGGTCATGATATGTCATGTACGGGGAGAGGGGAATGCAAGGGAAGCACAAATATATATATGCACCAGCACTCACTTTGTTACGCAAGGCCCAGAAGGTGCCAACAGGAAAGCTGTTCATGCCTGCCCTTGCCCTCCAGTTCCCCAGCCAATTGGGGAAGTGGTAAAAACAGAGGGAGACCTGAAGGCGGTCCAGCCACTTCAATGCCTCAGGGAGAAACAGACCAGGTGAAAGAACCCAGTAGGGCCTTCCAGTTAACGGCTCACCATATGTTAGTCTTTCTTTTCCCTCAATAAGAAAGCCTCAATCTGTCCCGTCACTAGGAAGAAAGAGAGTAAGAAAGCCCACGGCCATTCACAGGGCCTGAAAAAGCACTATCGATAATGCCTGCCCGGGCCCTGTTTAACAAGGTTGAGGAATGCTAGCTTATTCACACTGCCCAAGCCAAAGGGGAAGGGACAGAATGGAGGGCAAAGATTTGGGGAGGAAGACACTCACGACTCTGCCAGCTCAGCTCGTTCCTCTGTGCGTTCCAAGTCTCCCTCAATAATCACCAACTTACGAGCCACCTACAGGAGAAGACCAAGGCACACCTCAGCAAAGCAAAGGAGTAGCTATTTCCCTCCCCTGGTTCTTTTGAGAACCCCAATGTCACCGACGGAGGGACAACTAACGGTGCCTTACCTCCTCATACTTCCTATCTGCCTCTTCTGCAATGTGCTTAGCTTCTTTGAGCTGGATTTCCTGGAGTTCCATCTTCTCTTCATCTTTTAAAGCTCGGTTTTCAATAACCTTCATGCCTCTGTTAGAAACAATAAGGACATATGTGGCATTGACACTCCAGGAATCTGTCATCAGCTACACCCCAAGGGATCTGGAATTGCAGGCATAAAAGATCATTCCTATCTGCTTGCCACTCAAAGAGAATTCCCATGGCCCCCGCCCCACCTTAGTTCATTTTGTTTTAAACCTTTATAAAAACAACACACACTTACTAAGAAATTAAGTATTTAAGTGTATAGTCTACGGGCATAAAGCGAAAAGTCTCTCCCCTTCTAATCCTGCTCATCAGAGGTAGTCACTTACTTCATAATCCTTCCAGAAATGTATTCCACAGATAAAAATGCAGAAAGTCTCACCCCGACTTCCCCATACCTGAGGGAATCATATACTACACTGTTCTGCAACTTGTCTTCCTCACTTTCTATAATTTGGACACTGTACTGTAGTAGTATAGACACAGCTGGCTGTCTTACTCGTTTTCACAGCCACACTGTGTTACTGGACTCCCAGTAGGGCATTTTCAGTTCTGAAAGCCTCCGTTTGATCCCATGCAAGTCATCACATAGTTCACATATGGCAAGGAGCCAACTGGCTGTTTTCAACAAAGATGAGTTGTGATTTGGTTTAAGGACTACGGTTCTCAACTCATGAAAATTATCAGAGGAATTTTAAAAACATCAATGCCTAGGCCACTCGCGCAATGGATTCTAATTGAACTGGGGTAGGACCCCGGCATTCTGATATTTTAAAACTCCCTGATGATCCCCACCCCTCGCTCCCATGATTCTAACAGTACAGCTGGGGTCGAGAGAGTTTTTTTAAGACACAGATTGCTGGGCTCTACTTCCAGAGTTTCTGATTCATAGATCAGGGGTAGGTACGGTACCAGCTGAGAACTTGAATTTCTGCCAGTTTCCCAGATGCTGCTGGTTTGGAGTCTTACTGAGAACCACTGGATCAAGTAAGCTTATGATCCAGTACGTGGAAGTCATCCTGGTGACCCCATTTAAGGATCAATTTATACAGAAACCAATTACAAAAGAGTCACAGGTACAGGGTTCAGGTAACCCTAACTGTCTTCAAGTGGGGAGACTATGCAGAAGAGGAATGAGGATCCTGTAAGACAGCGAACTATTTTTAAAAACAAGTCTATAAGTAGATCTTGAGCAGAGCCATTATGAATTTCTTTGGGAATGCACGCTTCAAGAGGCCCCTCTACACACCTCTCGCTCTCATCGGCAGCTTTCTCAGCTTCCTCCAGCTTCTGCAGGGCAGTGGCCAGGCGCTCCTGAGCACGGTCCAGCTCCTCTTCAACCAGCTGGATCCTACGGTTCAAGGAGGCCACCTCAGCCTCAGCCTGCGTTTCAGTAAAAGAATGGAAAAAGGAAGCAGAGGCATGGTGAAAAGGAATAGAACTGTGACAGAAAGACTGGGGCTGACGACCATGACAGAAGCGAAGAGTCTAGCAGGGTAGAACCTGTCTTAGCTCAGATCAAGGAAACATATTACATATTTCCTGCCTTCTTCTGTCAACAAACTACTATATGTTCCACAGGAAGAGTGTTTTAAAACTCAGCTCCTTGCGCAGCCCAGTGTCAGCACCACCCCCTTTCTGGACTCCGTTCAAACTCCTGACTGTCAGCAAACACAGCCGGTGAAGGGTTCCTTCTGTCTGAGCTCTGGCTTAGAGGTGTTCTTATTCTTAAAAGTGTCTCACACAGGAAATCTTGAATTTTTTATTAAAAAAATTTTTTCAATCCTCATTGGAGAATGTTTTTATTGATTTCTTTCTTTCTGGAGAAACACTGATATGAGAGATAAACATTGATCAGTTGCGTCCTACACACGCCCTGACTGAGGGATTGAACCCACAACCCTTTGGTGTACAGGATGACACTAATCAACTGAGCCACCTGGCCAGGGGAGAGTACCAATTAATTTGCTACTTAACTCAGGTTGTTCATCCTCTGATTACCCTACACTGAAACAGAAGGATGACTATCTAAGAGAATTATGTTGCCAGAAGAACCTTTCCAATCAGAAAGTGAGAGCATGGTCCACGGGGAGACCTACTCCCACCTATTTAAAGTTGACAAGAAGCTTCTGGCTAAAATGATCTGTGTTGATGACGTTAGAAAAAGAACGGGGGGCAGAAGGGAATGAGTTCTCTGTGCCCATCCCCATCCTCCACATTTCTGAATCGTGACCCCGTCTAGTCCCCTGAGCCCCATGGCCTCACCCTTCAAGTACAACTTAGTGACACGTGAACTCACTTTTTTAGTTGATTTTTCTTTGTTAAATGGTACTCAAATATATAAAGTAAATATCAAAAATACACATCTTTGTTTTACTATGGTTGCAAATATCAAAAAATTTCTATATGTGACACGGCACCAGAGTTAAGTTAGGGTTTTTCAAAATGCTGACACGCCGAGCTCAAAAGGTTCGCCGTCACTGACTTAGGACAATCCTCTCCCTAACCTCGCCCCGTAATCAAGCACAAGCTAGAGTCCAAGACACCCCAGACCTCTTCCTTGGTAATGGAATGAGAAATACGGAGAAGAGGCAGCTGCATAAGGATGAATTTTACTGGTAGAAAAGCCTCCTTCCTAAGACTGCTTTCCCCTCCCCACACCTTTACTGGTAGCAAGTATGCTGACTGCCACAACCATGGAAGAATTCAATCTGCCCTGCATGCTACCCCGTCCAGATGCTTATCCAAGTGCTTGGTAAACATGATCTCCCTGCTACAGCCCAGATTGCACCTGAATTCTATTACCCTGATTTCCTCCTGACAGACGGGTGGGGGCAGCATAGACATAATCTGTGCCACTAGCCTTTAGTGCAACGGTTCTCAACCTGTGGGTCGCGACCCCTTTGGAGGTCGAATGATCCCTGTCTTTCACAGGAGTCGCCTAAGACCATCCTGCATATCAGATATTTACATTACGATTTATAACAGTAGCAACATTACAGTCATGAAGTAGCAACGAAAATAATTTTATGGTTGGGTCACAACGTGAGGAACTGTATTTAAAGGGCCATAAGGTTGAGAACCTCTGCTTTATGGGGAGGGATATAGCCCAAGAGATTTCTGTTAAGCATCAGGTTAGCCTGCCCGTGTGGCTCAGTTGATTGAGCATCCTCCTAAGCACCAGGAGGTTGTGGTTTGATTCCCAGTCAGGGCACAGGCCCTGGTTGCAGGCTTGATCCCCAGTAGGGGGCGTTCAGAAGGCAGACCATCAATGTTTCTCTGATACTGATGTTTCTCTCTCTCCCCCGAGTCCTCTCTCTGAAATCAATAAAAAAACATTTGTTTTTTAAATTGGATTATTTGAGCCCTGGCCAGGTAGTTCAGCTGGTTGCAGGATCACCCTGATACACCAAGGTTTCGGGTTTGATTCCCAGTCAGGGCACATACAAGAAACAACCAATGAATGCATAAATAAATGGAATAACAACTCTCTCTCTCTCTCTCATCAATAAATAAAATTTTAAAATCAGGTTACTTGACACAAAAATTTCCCAATACAAACATGGGAAGTTCAAGGGACCAGACTGGCGGGAGGGGGATGTGTATAAATAACTACCACCCTAGAGGAAAAGAAAACGGAGATGTCTACAGAAGCTGAATTTACAAGAAACCATTTGTGCCTCTAACTACACCATTCAAAACACCACAAAGCCAAGTATTCTCTGGTTTTGTCCCTTCTAGGAAAACAGATGTCTCCTAGAACATCACACATTTCACCCCACAAATTCAAAAAGTCAAGATTACAAGAACAATTCAGGCTATCAGGCAAGAGCTATGAAACACTGCCAGTATAATTTATCACACACACACATATGCCTAGAACTAAAAAAAAAAAAAAAAGCATGGAACCAGATTTGGGGGAAGCTCTTTAATCTCAGTCCCCTTTAAGCTCACCAGTAGTCACCCATCAGGAGTAGAAGATAGCAGACTATGGGGGTGGGGTGCAAAGTTTCCATGACAACAAGCTGGCTAGGGCAGTTTCTACCACACATCAGGATTTACAACATAATTTTTCGCGAGGCTGAACAGGGAGAAAACACATCTTGGTGCCTCACCAGAACATGTGCACATTAAACAAGCCTGTAGCAAAAGCAGAATCCAAGATGGGAGTCCCAGCAAAAGCGTTCAGACACACCCCACCCATGGGGGGTGGGGGGGCAGTGGCTATTCTCCTGTGTGTTTTTTTTCCTCCCCCCTCCCCCACAGGGTCAGTTCTCTTTGAAATGAAGCAAAAGCTTTGCTGAATCAAGATCTCTTACAATGTTTAAAGGGAGAAGGAAGCACACCTGATTTCCCTTCACATCAGAACCTATGCAAAATGCCTATCAGTCCTGCCAAAAGACTGAACGGTACTAACTTCTGCAAACCAGGGAGACATTGTTTTAGGCTATTCTAATCATCCTAGGTGTAACATGCCCAGATGTGGTTTTGATCTTTCAGCCTACCCACGTCTGCCCAGCTTGGAGGATATACCCTGAGACCCTTCCTTCGGGTAATCACAGAATTCCCCACTACCCAGGAAGCAATGATCCCAAGGAAAAAGGAAGAGAAAACAACAGCAATTCGGACACACGAGAACATGGCTGACAATAGCTTCAGCTGTGAATTAGGTTTGGTTAGAATGCTACCATCCTCCATGCTAGAGGTTCCCCAAGCACACCACACCCCTCAAGGCAAGAAAATGACAGGGCACTGGTGCTGGGAGGTAGATCAGGGCCAAAGACAGAAGTGTGATTAGTGTGATTAGTCTAATTCTGGCATCCTGCCACTCTGGGGTTTCTCCTGTTAGACAAAAGCTACAGATGAAATTCAAAGGAAATGAGTAATGGAAGTTAGCCTGGAGTCCTTAGAGTAAAGGGCTGCTCTAGTTCACTGTTCACAAATGTATCTGCCCTGGGAGATACTGTGTCCTTGGGGACTTTAATTTCACCAAGGGGAAGGCAAGCTGGAAGGGAGTCCAGCTATCAGCCCCAGAGCAAACAAAGGTGGAGTCTAAGCCAGGCACCCAGAGCAAAGTGCTGTTTGCCGCTCCCCTGTGAGTGTGTGCTCTAGTATGAGGGAAAGCGAGGTAATCAGCAGGGAAAAAATCTGAACCAAAGAAAGGCGAGAAAGCCTGTTGCTTAGCCCTGCAGACCCATATAGCAGAGCCGCACAATGGTCAGACATTCTAACCCCTCCGGAGACTGGGAATTTGGGAATAAAATCAGAATAGAAACATCTGTTCAAAGCCCACTGCCTCCCTCACGATATTCCTAAATTTTTTTAGACCACAAAAAGAAGAGACAAATACCAGGGAGGTTAGGAGGTAAGGTGAACTATATGGGAGGGTAACCGATAGATGTTTCTCTCGTTCCCTTCCTCTCTGCAAAAATCAATGAAAAACATATCCTCAGGTGAGGATTAAAAAATCAACTAAAAATAAAGTCGTTAAAAAGGTAAGTTTTATGTTATGTGTATCTTTACCACCACCACCATCACAGCAAAAACACAGATAAGGAAAAAGACTACATTTAAGTATTATGTTGCCATCTACT